CTTTGACGTCAAACGTCTCGCCGTCCAGAATGACATAGCCACCTGAAAGAGAAAGACGCATACCCTACTCGTCCCAACTTTCTCCAGACAAATTAACGAATCTAATTTTCATCAAAGAGAGGAAATTATTATAGAACAAGAAAGATTTACAATTTACCGTTGCCTTATAAGATAAGAACGTTAAAGATAGAAACTGTAGTGAAAAAGAAAGTTTAGAATAAGCGATGAGAGATAATAAGCGCCTTCCGTCCAAACCTTCATTTATAATAAGCGCTTGAGTGTTAATGGCGGAATTACGGTATTCTTCAAGAGTAAAAAAAATCTTAAAGCTTCATTCAATTGAAGCTCGTAATTACCCTCGGTAAAAAACTTATTATCTTACCTTCACCCTCGCCATCAGATGTTCCAAGAGAACTGATCATAACCTCTCCGTTAGCCAAACAGTGCGTTGTGTGAAGATAACCAAGTCCAGTTTTACTGGCAACCTCTTCCGGTTGGATTATCTGTTCCAAACAACACATGTTTATAGTGTAAGGCAAAGTCTTAAAATCTAGAGGCTTATAACCACTAGTGGCCGGGTTCTGTAGCACAAGCGACTGGCAGTGCATCCCATCTCTCCAAAATGGTATGCAAGTCCAGCGCACCCCACACCATAGCATTTCTACAGGTTTGCCTAAAAACTTCGCCAATACCTATCTATACTCCTGGGTGTAAACGAGCATAAACTCATATTTGTTCTCACAAGTAATCGCTCAGAGAGCGAACAAGAAAAGAGCCACGTGCGAAAAAGGGAGAAAAGTCGAATGCGAACACAAGAGGGCAAAAGAGAGCAAAAGGAACCGCTAGGCACCAAACCTAGAGACTCAGCCATAGTTGACACCGGGACCTGTTCCCCCAGAGTGCAGCGCACTCATCACTACACTACTTCACCATGCCTTCAAAAAAAAAAAAAAAAAAAAAAAAAAAAAAGGCGAGACAAGAAAAATTTTAAGATCTGCAGAGGTCGGGAATCCCTCTCAGCATAACGTCTCAGAATCATTAAAAATCTCCACCTTAAAAAAATTAGTATCGTTCCGTATAGGAATCTTGGCCATTACTTTAAGAGAAAATAGAGAAATATAGTGCAAATAGGACAGCGTTGTTGTTTTTCCTACTTTGTGTATCTGTGGCGCTCTTGGATTGCCTCCCACATCAAAGATGTAGACCCGACCAGAAATTAACGAAGGCATGATGAGGCGGTTTCTCTTCTTGTTTGGGTCACCAAAACAACTAGAAAATGAAAGCATACTTAAGACACAACTAAAAAAAGCTGCGAGGTCATCAACTACACCGAAAAATAATTTGAAGAGCACATCTTAAATCCCACAATGACAACATTTCTTCTAATTTCAAGGGCTTTATTCTTTTCTCCCAAACGGAGCTGACTACTGCGTTTCCAAAAAGTTTCTCAATGAAGAACCGCCACCTGTGATTTTTTTTTCTGAGATTATGTTAGTTGTGGCTTACGGAGAAGGAATCGACGCCATGACTCATCTTTAATGATCCTGGTGATAACAGTATTACTTCTTATAACGATAATAATAATAATAATTATGATAGCAAACATTTTATCATCATCTACATCGATCGATTAATTCCTATCAAGTAAAGTAAATTTTTCATCACTACTGTGGTCATAAATTTGTTTTACGGGTTGATTTCCGCGGACTAGGGATCGCAGACGGATTTTCTCAGAGATTTACCAAGTAGCAGGCACTCGATTAGCCAGGCGCGTCTTAGACTGGCACAAGTGAACGAGAAGACATGCGCACATCTTCAATTCTCCTTTTCCTTTCTCCAACGTTACAGGGCGAGGGGCTGTGTTCATGAGGTTTGTTGGGAACAAATCGTTTACCAAGGAGAGTTGGAATCGCCGTGCACGCACCTGCTTGATACGCATGTTATTTTCAAAGTTCCATACTACAGTAAGACTAACCTACTACAAGCATTCCATCCACTGTGATGTAATTCGTCTCCTTTGTAAGGTACTGGCAAACGATGAATGACCTGCGAAAATCACAGCGACAAAATGTTTTTAAAGTTCACAGTTCCCTATCAGCGGTAAAGCGGCAGTTCATACTCGTTGCGAGTTTTCCCAGGGCTCACAATACCAAGAAACTATAATGTCGTTCATAAAAATTATAAGAAATCAAAATGATACTCTTCAGTATTTTCTAGGAATCATGTGATACAATCCAGTCTCGCATTGAGGACACCCTGCTACTCCCAGGGACATGAGCGAAAGTTTTCGGGGTGTGGCGTAGGGTAGGGTGGGGCTAGAGTGGTGTGGGGGCAAGGTGAAGTAAAGGGCTTCATATCGGCTGCCTTATGATATTGTTGGAGCATGCCTGGATGTACTGCTAAGAAGAAAATTTAACTTTATTTAACTTAAGGGAGGGGGTTTACATTAATCCAAAGACTCCTCGACCCCCTCATTTTCAGTCCTCGGTCGTTCAAGAAGACATAAGTCAGGCTATTTCTTGTCAAAAATATATTCTTTTTTTAAATACCCGAATTCCCCTTTTGTTACTGAAATGCACTTTCACAACCTCTAGGTACAGAATCTGGAATAACTCATTATCCATGGCTTATATATGGTGTTACCTTTGAATAAGTTGGCGAGCGGGGATCAACATCAACAGTGGCAAGGTAGTCCGGTTTGTCCACTCCAGTATTTGTGAGGATACATGGCAGGTAGACAATTGTCTCCTTTGGACCCTTCATGGCATCCAGGGGTGTAGCATACCCAGGCCCACACCCACAGTGTCCTCCTGCTGCCGAGATAAAAGGTAGTGAACGCATTTAAAAAAAAGTTGAATTGAATTTTTCAAAACTTCATAGTTCATTATATTTGTACCTCTGTAGTCGTGAAAGCAATCATACATAGATTCAATCTTAGGCAGTGGCCTTTCCTTACAAAAAGAGAGATTTCTACATCACGTGAAACCCTCGCAATTGCACATCAATCTACGCACGTCACGCTCGCTTCTCGTGACACCTTTTTAATTGTTTTTTTGGTTTCATTTTTTGTTTCGTTGCTTTTACTCTAATTTTTTTCTTGCGGTTCTGCATAAGAAAGCAAATACGTAATAATCGACGTTTGAACGGGAATAAAGCGGTCGGCGTTTTGTTGTCCAAATCTCTTTTCATTCCAAACACAGAAGTTAAAACACAGAAGGATTTACACAGAAGTAAGGGGCCGACTGCGTTGATGAACTTCAGAGTAATTTGGGTTATTCGATTTTCAACTCGCAGTATTCAAGTAGATCCTCTACTTGCAAGGGAATCACACGATATAGTTAAAAAAAACAAACACACACACAGAGTACATCAGTTGGTCTGCGACCTAAATCCTCTCTTAAGAATAGGGTATTTTTCTTTGTATTTCGCTAATAAGAAATATTTCATAATTTTCAATCCACGAGTCTAACCAGGTCCGATAACTGTCCGCTGTTCAAGGAGCTCGTGGACTCGAAGTTTTTTTTGGCACTAAAAGGCACACAGTATCGCCACGTCTTCGCCCGCTGCGATACAGCAGGATCAGAACAGGAATAATTGCGAGTGATATTTCATCAGTTGCGCCAAATTTTCGTCCTTGTTAAGGCCCATCATAACTTCATGGTCACGCAACGAACTAGCCACATTGCGTGACAATTATAGAAACGACTGCGCGAAATTCTAAATCAACATCGCACAGAGCAATAACATCTTTAAACGCAATATTTGAAATACAATTTGATGCTCAAAACATAGAATTAACTGTTCCGTAGTATAATTACTTTTTGCCCACTAAGTTTCAACGAAGAAAAGTATCCACAAACCCACGTGGACACTAGTAACAAAGACAACTGAATCTTACAACGTGATTTATCCAAGCGAAGGTTGACCGAGAAATTAGTTCCGTTCAAGAGAGCTCTTCCCTCTAAAACTGTGCATCCCGTCTCAGCTAAGTTTACGTTCTAGCCAGTTGATGGTTGAACTCAAAACCAATACGAGTAAATATTAAGTCACTTCAATTCCTGTTGTTGCGCATTAAATAGAAAGTTCTTAACTACTTGCATAACACATGCATAAACCGCACTACTATTTCGGTCGATTGAAATACTTATCAGAATTGTTTAAGACCTGAAAGAGCTAATCTACACTTACCTACTGCTGTCATTTTGACGGGCCAAACTTCGCTGCATTAATGGAGTGAATATTCAAGAAGTAAAGATTAAGTGTTTGCGTAATGATTCAGCGTATTTAAAGCCAAGTTAGCTATTGGTTCCCCCACCAGCCGTCACTCAACCTGGATTAGTAAATATAGACACTCCGCAAAAGCGTGCTACAGCTGGTCAGGACATGGCTTCAAGATTGAGCTAAGGACCAGGAACTCTTTACCTCTTCTCCAATGCCAGCAAGGATGTAAGGCTGACTAGTAACGATTTGACTGATTACTGACGGCTTCTCTTGTTTGATTGTCTTCTTTTGTTACGCATATCGCGAAAACAACCTATTTAACCCGCATCCTTGATGAGTACTTGACTATTTTTTACAGTGATCAAGTTTGTGCAATCACAAACCAGCAGAGTCATATCCTGTCAGAACAGCAAAGGGGAATGGATTTCATCTGCTTGCTGGGAAGCGTGGAAGGCGTTTAAGAACATTTGTAGACGTGTTTTCACGGCGAAGTACTTTGCGGTCCCCGACCAGTAATACAACTCTCGCCCGCTCCGTTTCATTAACTTTTCGTCGTTCTTATCGAGGCTAATTAAAATATCCTTGTTATCATTCTACAAATTTAAACTGGACGGAAAAAATCGGCGCGGTGTTAAGTCATAAATTCCGAATAGGTGATATTTTTTCAGAAATATTTCGTTATTGAACGAATTAAGTCTCACAGCGTGGACTTTTTGTTTCCAGAAGAGAGGCCCTAAGACCAAGGTTGCGTAACTATGTGTCTGGAACCAGCAGAAAACTTACTGTAAGTTGAGCTTTTATTTGACTGATCAGTATTTAATTCTATGTACATCAATGGCTATACTCTACGATTGTCAGAAAAAATGCCTTTACATTGAGTTCTGAAAGGCCTTCCTAGGTCACCATTATCACCAAAACACGGCTCTCGCTAAATTGCAAATTCAACAGCCAAGGTTGTCTAAGTATTCCATTACATATCGAGATAAATCAAGTGAAATACACTCAATCGATCTTTAATAGTCAAGCAACTGATAGCTAATATAATGAGAGCAGAAAGAAGCCTAGGGGAAAGATCGTTGCTATAGGAGTCTTCGATGGTATGCAGTGCAAAAGCAGTGTCTGGGTGATGATGTTATTAACTAGCGGCGATTGCTATTCTAAGTAGTAACCGGTAATATTCATAAAAATATCATCTAAAATGTTTAGTTGTCTAGTGAAATGTATAATGGATAAATTAGTAAACGCCTATTTCTTCTGAGGAATACCAAGAATAAAACACATCTCATGGCGCGATGAAAAAGCTGTTAAAATAGTTCAGTGTAGGAGAAGGAACGAGGAAAACATCACAAGGTTGTCCTGAACTTGGAACGCCGCACATAAGACATGTAACCTGGACGCTAACCTCTGGCCTCATCAGAAGAGAGTAGCTTACGTCACACTAAGATGGAAAGTTGGACGATACGTGATTCTTTTCTTATTTACAACTTTAAAGCAGAATTCTTCTGTAAGACTTCATGAATCGAACTTGAGGATAGCAATAAGACATATGTATATCTAATTATCAAATCAGCTTTAGGTACAAAAAGCAAGAATTGGCTCTGAAGTGAGAAGAATATCTGATCGTGGTGAAAACTTCGGCCCTAGCATGGCAATCTTCAACTGGTTATCAAGTTAAGCTTTAAACGTAACATAAGCTACTTATTGACAAGGTTCAACGCTTCTTTTTCTAGCGTTATATACGCCATGGAGCCACGCGTCGGGAAAAGAGAAGGAAAAAAAAAAACAAAACAAAACAAGGAAAAAACTGTCAATCAAGTAGACTCAGTTTAAGCCGCGTAGGAAAGAGAGCAGTGATAAATGGTTAGTACGGACGAGGTCGCTTCTTGTAGATTTTCGTTTTTCTCTCTCTTGCTCTAAACTTATTTTGCTGCATTTAGTACTTAATCTGTAAATTACATAAAACTCTGATAGCTTTGTTCCATTAAAAACTTTTTTCCATGTTTACTCTTGTCACGCATTTAAGGAGGGTGGATCTCCATGGTCCGTTGGTTCATAGCCGTTCAGTGGTCCACATGGCATTCCTCGACCTTCGCCGTTAAAAGCCCCTGTTAGAGCGAAAAAGTAGAACATCAGTTGTTACTACCTAACGCATCAGATGTTACCCCTAAACTGAAAAGGTTGAAGAATGCTTTTGACTTCCTAATATCTCAATACCCTTGAAACTGCTGCAGATCCCTTTAAATCTTACATTCACAATCTCAAAAGTAAAATAAAGATAAGGAAGGAACTGTGTAAAAGAGAATATATTTTCATAAAAAAACTACTTCACTTAAGACGACGAACTATAGAGTTTGTTGCTAAATCGAACAGGTTTGCGACTTGACTGAACCCCCACCCACCTCTTGAAGATCTTCTTCCTCGCCTGCCTCTCCCACGCCCTGCTGCTGCCCCTGAGGTGTCAAAAGGTTTGTCCACTCCCGGTACAGCTCTTTTCTCCGGGGCTTCCTCTTCAACTTTCTCCTCTTCGCGCCTTTTGAGACAAGCTGCTTTGGGGTTGAGATTTCGTTCTAGGAAAATCCGGAAATAAAAGTTTTAGAAGGTGAAATTGCCGGCCGGTAGAGATAACAGTTCCCTGCTGCTTCAATGGCTTGGATCCAAAGGGCTAAGTTTGATTCCATAATTAATTGACTTAAAAGTTAGGGAAAAACTCATCCTCACAATCCACAAGCCTAACATCTTACTCCTTTCCAGAATTAAAAAACACAATAAGAAATGACGGAAAAATGTGAAATAAAAACAGTCACTATCAGTTCTGAAACAATACCACGATCTTATTCCAAGCTTACCTCGAACTTGTGATTCTAAACTTGTGATGACTGATACCGCTTGGTGAAGGATTACAAGCTGTGGGACAAAGCAACCATATGTGGGTGAGTAAATAAAATTCGATCATAACGATACACAATCACAGTCACCAGGGCACGTGGATCACTTTTTCACATTTTGAAGAGGGGTATAATTACAAGCCGAGTTGTTTGTGAAGGCATTTGCAAATTCACACTGCATACATATGTTATTCGTTTTTATCACTCAAGGCCTTAAAGAGATCTATATAACAAACAAAGAAGCTTCTCTAACAGCAGTAGTATCAGTGTTGGAGATCAAGGGCATCTTGGAGAGTGACATGCAACTTTAAACAACATTGTAAACATAGTCACTGAATAAAAACTGAACAGGAAATTTCAAATGGAGATGACAGAAGGAGTCAACCTTTGGAAGTGACAAAACTTGTCTTTTTTTTTACCTTGGTCTGGGGTTTGTCGCTCTCTAAATGCAATTGACACATTCTGCCCAATTCTTTGAAGGCACCGTTGATGTCTCGAACCCTCATCCTGTAATAAAGAGTTATGTGGGTAGTAAGCTTAGCATCTCACCTTAGTCTGTTTAGTATTAGAGTTGGATTTGTCACCCTGTAAATGCATCATACACATTCTTCCCAATTCTTTGAAGGCTCCGTTTATGTCTCGAACTCTCAACCTGTTAAGGCAAGGTGCAGAGCACAAAATTGGACTGTTGAATATCAAATCGATCTGGGGTCATTTTTTTTTTCTGTCTCTTGCAGGGATCCTAGAGATTCACACTGGTTTGAGCCTTTTACGATCGAAACTTGTTTGCGGTTATTAAAAATGTCGTCGCCGGATGAAAAACTCTCAGGTCACAAAGATGTGCAGATTCCGGGAACTTAGCAGCTAGGTAGTTCATGAAAGTTGACTTTTTCTCTCTATACATAGTATGATTCAGTGCAGAGCCTGTTTATTATTTTTATATCACTCAGTGACTGAGAAAATGTTACTTAGGGCCTCGACGCACTAGGAAAATGTTTGCTTAGTTTGCGAAAGAACTGTCTTCAGTTCCGTGAGACAAGTGCGCACGACAATTTTTGGTCCGACCAAATTCCTTCAAGCTTCAGGCATGGGTCGCACTTGATAAATTTTCAACCTTTCTGAGAAAAAAGACCATAAAAATCAGCTTGAAAACTGTTGCCTTCCAACCTCTTGAGGACCTGCTGTGTCGGGGATTGCAGACGTTCCGAGTAAACAGGCTCTTCTTCAAATAATTTAATGATATCGAAATTTCAGTCTGAAATGGTTTTTAGTAACAGAAACCCGAAAAATGGAGTTATCATACACCCCGGCCCAACAATTTCCTGTACTTTAGGTCTAATAAAATAATAACAATTTTCTAAACTGAACAACACGTGGCTAAATGAACCTTTGCAAGGTCACCACACCAATATACAGTATTATGTACGTAGCAATTTCAGTTTTTGGTAACACAGACACGAGTCCAGTCATTCAGATAACAGGTGGTTATAGATACTCGGGTATCAGACTCTACTGTGCCGCTGTTTCCTCCTGCAGGTACTTACACTAATTCATGATCATACCTTTCCCTGGCATTATTCGCATATCTTCGTTCTTGTTCCCTGACGACTCTGACTCGGCCGTTGTCATCGACACCACCATCTTCTGTCAATTTATCATCGTCATCATCGTCATCCACAATCAAATCCCTTTTGTCTCTGTCCTCTGCCAAGTCCCCGTTACTTTTCAAATCTTGCTTCGATGACGAGTCTTTACTGCTCTTTGCACTTTCGCCTCCTGTGTCCATTTTAGAACCATCTGCCAAGGCAGAAAGACAATTAACTCTATAATTACTGGCGATTTACCACAATTTTCCCTTACATCCTCAAACTACACAGAGATTACAACATTTTGATCTTTCAAATATAAATATAGCAATGCAGTTATGATGACCTGTCAAACCTACTTGGCTTAGAAGCCCTTTTTCACGAAATAAACTTAAAAGAGGACGGTAGTTGTCTTTGTAAAGTGAGACGCTGAAGTATCATTTCTGAGACGTGCGTTTCAGCATTCTTGTGCATGTCAAATATTCCTCAAATGGATTAGGATAACGCCTTAAAATGGCCACTACTTAATTCCATACAACCAGTCAGTCTAGACATTTCAACAAAAAGGTGCTCAAATCAAATCAAATCAAATCATTCTTCTGTTTAACACCACTGCCCGAGAAGGAACACCTGATTACTTGTAGGCTACATCAAACTTGTACATACATCTTGATTCACTTGTCTCTGAGGTACTGGGGGACATTTGTGACGCTGCTCCTCTACTTGATAGGTTACTTGGTGATGCCATTCCTGGATCATCCTCCATTCCACTATGTCCACCACTCTAAAGAATGACAAAGGTTTGTCCATGAAGATTCTTAGTTTCTATAAATAATTTGTAATAATTTTTTTTGGGATATGTCTACGTCATGATCAGACATTTGTGAAAAATTAATCTTGCCAATCAATTTTATTATCTGGCTACTCTGATACTAAAGCAGCTAGTTCACAAAAACAGTCATCCCGTCTTCAACTTATTCATTTTCTTAGCTGCGTTAACCTGTATCTCTGCCTCACTAACTTCTTTTAGGGGACAGCATTCAAGCATTTGTACATGTAAACACAATTTCATTTTCATTTGAGTTTTGTTTTGGGTACAACTTGAATTGCAGGGGTCCACAATCATACCAAAAAGATGGCAGTAGCTATGGAAGTACAATTCAAAACAGGTTTGCTTTACCATCTGATCCATGGGGACTGCTGATGTACCGCTACTTCCCACAGAGGTTGAATAGCTAACACCCTGAACCCCACTTGCACTTGCTGCCGCAGCAGCACTCAGCAAGCTTCCAGCTACCACTGGTGACATTCCAGGAGGGAGGCTACCTTCAGCATGGGTGCGCAAAACATGAATAGCATCATCAAGCCTCTCCTCCATTCTGCTTTGCTGAAATGTAAAATTTGCAGACCTTGATGAAATGCATGGATGTTAGGAAAGAAGTCAAATGTATACAAAGCTAATGTACATGTATCTTGCACCAAATTTTCAGGTGCCCTTTTTTTTTTCCTATTTAATTTGCATTTGTCTACCCGATAAACCATTATTTAATCACTTACGTCTAATCAACAACATTTTCAACCTTTTGACCCCTTAAAGAATCCAATTTCCCATTACAATACCACTGCTAAGCCACACATTAGGGCCACAAGAATAAAGCAAATAATTACTAACTACAGAAAATTGTGATTTTTGAACACATTCTCCTGGTCAGCACCTTAGGAAATGGAGAGAGAACAGTAGGGGAATATGCACTCTAATGCTATGGTGTAGTGGGTTAATCATTAACTCAGTACCACGACAAACTTCTACTCACAAGAGAATGCAGATGGCTCTCATATGGAGGTGATGTTGGTTGATTAGTTCTTCCCCAGCTTGCAGAATGTCCTGAAGCTCCAGAGCCAGCTGTAATAAGATCAATACAACATTGTTATTAATCTAGATGTCTTTCTCTTCCGTGACTAAAGTGCCCTCCTTTCCAGGCAGTAACTGCTAAAACTTACCTCCTGTATCAACCGAAATCGCTAGGAATTCTCAAAAATTCAACAGGCAAAGGATTGCTCTACTGGCTTGAAAATTGCTTTTAATCTGCACGCTTAAAATAAGGATGAACGCTCTGACTACCAATAAAATCTAAAGCAACAGTTATGAATTAGACAAAGAGTCAGACAGAACTAAATGAAGTCAGAAGTTAATGACAGACTTTGGTGACAATTCACAATCTTCCTAATATGGCTCTTTGCAATTGAAATCACAATCTACATGCAACATTTGGTTGAAACAAACTTCAGAAATGGTCAAGCTGGGGCAAAGCATCTTACCTGATAAAGGTCTGTCACTGACACTGGCCAAGGGGGGAGGAGATGCTACTGGTGTTGTTGGGTTTGATGAGTATGATCCACCATTGTCTGTGGGGTAAATCTGCAAGAACAATCAATTTTTTATGTCATTAAAAGACAGTTTCACACTCCCTGTTGATTTTCAAAAATTAGCAAGTAGTAACTTATTCTTTCAGCACTCCTAGATGAACTGTAAGGTTGTTAAAATTACATCCTCAAACAGGATTCTGCACTTACAGATGCTAGGGCTTTCCCTAGTGTGTCTCCAGTTTGTGAACCAGATGTGGGTGCCCTAGAGCTGTGACTGGCTGTAATAAAAGTAACAGTATGATAAATCACATAAACAACAGAAAAAAGGAACAACAATGGTGTGCCCCAAATAAACATGAAGCAGCACATTACAAGAAGCAAACAGGCTTTTATTCTATATTTCTTGCAACTTGAAAATTCACCTCAAAGAGGCCATCCTGTACAGATTTTTTGTTGAGAGATTTCTCAATTGGTACATCAAACACCAGTGAATCCACATGATTTGACCCACACTGCCCCCTCCCAAAAATGGATCCTCCCTTAAGAGGCATGAAAACCCTGTTGGGAAAATTATTCCTATGATAATCTTTTAGAAGTTAGAAAAAAAAATTCTCTTTTTCAATCAAAATTTCAGTTTAAGTTCCCAGGAAATGTTGTCTCATATTTAAAAAAAGAAATAAGCTGTTCTTCTACAACAAGCTCAGCTCTCTTGCTTGAATTATAATATCTTTAAAACTGTAGGTTTAGTTTTAAACCAAAGACCATACCCATTGGATCACTTCCATTGAGAGGAGGTGACACTGAAGAATGGAGATAGGGTGATGATTGACCATGGTGCATTCCTGTTTGCCTAAAAGATGTCATCGGTGGTAAACTTGACAGTCTCTCCATTGGCTCACCATGGCCTAAGTGATGGTAGCCCTGTGTAATATAGTGGAAAAAGATTAGCTGAAGCAATACATATCTTAAGTACCTACATGTACCACTGTACTTCAGTGGATAAAGCACTCTACCTTTGAGGTAAACTATATGATTCTTGATATTAAAATAAATTTGCTTGAAATCAGAGTCATTTGGCAAATCTGTTATAACAATGTTACAATTCAAAATACTCCCATTCATGCTGGTATACAACCAAACTACCAAATAAAAAAGTTCACACTGGAAGCCAGACTACTTCACTGGCTGTTTAAGAAAATCATCTGACAAATTTGCTATACTCTCAAACTGTTTGTTACTTTGTTTCACACAACAGAGAGCCACATACATGAAAGTACTTCATAATTTAACGGACAAATTTTAGAATTTGGATACTGATAAGATACACAATTAAAAGTCTATCTAATGAACAGAGAAGTTTTGAATAAGCTGTTAAAAGAAAATAGCAGAGATGTTTTATAGTTTTAAATGCAGGTAGCAAGGTTGAATTAACAAATTATGCTTGATGAATAAAGCTACGTTAAAAAAAGAAATTGCACACTTTCACCACATACCCATCTTATTTTTCTGTACCCCACAATTAAATGATAATTTGAATTGAAGGTGTAAGGTTGACAATCAAAAATCAGTAATACAAAGTACAAGTATGTTAAATACATGTAGTTCTCCATGTGTTAAGAGACACTGGTCAGTTAAGAATAAAGACATAAGGATTAAACGATTTCCTTGTTCAAACAGCTTAACACTCACTTCTTTCATGCATGACACTTGTGAAAGGGTCAGAGAATCAGAAGAGAAAACGAAAAAAAAAGCAAGACCCACAAGGTGATAAATGACCAGAAGACTACTGGTGGTGTTAAATGTTAATTGACAGCAATAAAAACCCTTAAAATGGCACCAGCATGTTATGTGTCTAACCCAATTTTGCAATGATTACAGTCAGCTGAGCTTGTGTTCAAGGAGATGAGAGGAAGTTGTCAGCACAATGCTGATCAGAGATGATGTATGTGTATTTTTTAACACCATAAACAAAGCCCACCCTAGGTTGGTGAATTGCTGGCCCCTTTGCTAATGCTGAAACAGGAATACCACGAACATCGCTCTAAAAATAAACAAACAAAACCCCTCATTGTAAACAAACTTAAGCAAAACCAAATCAACCCAGCAAAATTGTGATTGTAACTGAACTGTGTAACCCACCATGCTATCTCTTGGATGCATGCCATAACTGTTGCTGTAGGAGCCAGCTGAACCAGAGTAAGATCCTGGACCAAGCTGACCAGTGTGCCCCCATGGATCTGGTGAGCCATGATCTAAAAGGAAACAAAGCAGAAATTGAGTTACAACACCTTCCACACAGCATATTTCTTTGAAATCCTTTTCATATAACCTTGAAATCCCTTTTCAACTTATTTCAAAGGGGAAAAGTTTAACACCTCCCATCAGCCATTTAACATCAGCTTAAGTAATGAATTGGATAAGAATAAAGTTAAACCAAATACCAAACAAATTTTGGAAACATGTTCATCAGCATGAACAAGTGGCTACCAGCAGCTGCTTGTACATAAGTCTATGATAGCTTGGTCAGATTTATATAATAGTGGGCACCCACTTCAAAATTTAAATTACATGCTCATAGGATAAAACACAACAAGCACATGTATCTCCAATACTGGAGCAAAAAAGAGCAGTTAAAAGACTCTATTTGGGAAGTAAGACAGAAAACTTAAAGATACAATTTAGGCCACAAAGTCATTCATTAATACTTTAGAACAAGCTGTCAAATCAAGATTTCTTGATACTAAAGGAATAAAGTTTAATAAAAAGAGCACTTGACTAAAGAGAGGGTAAATCTCGATTTGGTCCAAGAATTGCCACATTTAAGAGCAACTTTTTTTACAAAGAACCCAACAGAAAGACTAAAGCTGAAACTAACTGAATCAATCACATATGGTAGGACCTTAAAATTGTCAGGATGAGAATGAAAATGTACTTATTCAACAAGAACCAGGTGACAGGTAGCATCATGACTTGACCTAAAATCAATTATAAATGCATCTCTCTTTCTCTCTATTTTTGTAAAACAACAAAAAAGACCTTTTTAGCCTCTGAATTTTTTTCAATGCTTCAGTAATGTTCGGGTATGACAAATTTTGTGTCTAATTCTTTATTTGATTTCAAACTTCTTAGACACCTCACACCAACTTTTCATTTTTCATTTATGCATTACTTTTTTGGCACTTGATGTAAATCACACTACTCTAAAGATTCCTTGTTTCTTGTCTTTGGTGTGGTGGGTTTTCATTTAGGTTCTGCATCATAATCCCTTTCCTTCAAGTGTTTCATGTATCTTGCGCTGCATTTTGAATTTTTTTGGTCTTGTTGTATCTTTGTTATTACTTTCCCTTCTTATTCTTGTTAGTAAATTTATGTTGAAGTTATTTTCTGCCTTTTAGGAATTTATTTCTTCACCTTCATTGAAATCATTTGCTTAGTAAGTCTTAGCTTAGTAAGGGTTGCATCAAGTTTAGCAAAGCTGGTCATTGCCTCTTCAAAGAATATAACACATGATAACATTCACACTACATCAGCATGAAATGCATATACACATACTGTTTGACTGCTTGATTTCATGTATGAAAAATTCCTTAAGGTAAATTGAACAAGATTCTATAACCAAAGTTAATCACTCTAACTTGCAATCTAATTTACATGTTGACAAAAGACTTTGAGACACGAAGAAAGAAATATTAAAAAAATACAGCACCATTTAAAGAGACCTTTCATTTCTTCTGGAAAAAATGCTAAAAATTAACATATACCAATTCCTGATGATGTTTTTCGGTTATGAAACAACACATAATTACTGCAAAGAATTCTTGGAATCAGCAACAATCATTTGTGTTATATCAGATATAGGAGGTAGGGTCAAAGACACTCCATAGAAGCTTTGCTTCCATCATATATCAATGTAAAATAGGAAATCTCAAAGTGGAAAAAAAGAAACCATGTACATCAATTGGTGATCACAACCTAACAACAATTTTGGCATCACAAAAATTAAAGGTACAAAAATCTGAAAAACAGATGACAAAATATGAATTGTCTATGAGGTGGTAGCTCATCCAAAACATGTGGCAGAATAAAAGCCCGTTATTTGGATGCTCCTTTGTGAAAAAAAAAATGGACCAGATCAAGTGTGGAGGAGCTCTTCATAAAAACTCATTCTGTTACATGTTACAAACACTGAAATCAGTGCACAGTGAAGCAAATAGAAGCCTTTTGAAGACAGAATCTCAGAATTCTCACAGAAAAAGAGATATAAAGCTAAATTTACAATAAATTTGAAAATAATCACATTAAAGACAGTGTATTTTGAGTCATGAACTACACAAGCCATGAAAAATTTGATTTATGATAAGTTTGATTATAATGACAGAATAATGTTACTTCAGCTGGAAACCACAAATGAAGTGCCCATAAACACAAATGAGTATAACAGCCTTTACCACATCACTGTAACTGAAATAGCCCCCAATAAAAAACCAATCAAGTGTGGTGTTAAGCCACTGCAGGTATTCAACAGACTTGTAGTTATTAACAGTCTGTTAAGCGACTTCACCTTTACCACATGTTATTTTGAGTTGCTCTCAAGCAAGTATCCTCTCAGTTCACTCCAATGACAAGCATTGGGGTTTTTCATGCTGGTAATTCAACAAGAAATATGGCATTGCTTATTTATCTATGGCTAGTTGAGAACAGAAGCCTGTGTCTTTGACAACTGACACAGTGAGAGGAAACATCTGAGTGGATTCAACAATTTTGCTCACAAAAACGTCAGGAACAGAGAATGTTAAAAGAAATTTCAGGTAGGGACAAGACAGCTTTATTACAACAAATTCCACCAGTCATTGGTTGATTAATAAAAGAACTAATTTACTAATAATAGAACAGTAAAGAGGAAAACAAGAAAGTGAAGTATTGGGCGCAAAGAAAATTACAAATTAGACTGTAACAAGAGACTCTTCCAAAATGGTGGTCAAAGAGCACAAAAATTAAAGTGCAAGATGGCGACTGGAACACAAGATATGCTAATCCTTCTCACCCATGTAGTAAGCATCAGCGTAGATTCCCCCTTTAGGAGAGTAATGAGATTGAGTCAAGGCATCCCCAGGATGAGGCATCATGTCATCGGCACCTGGTGAATAGACCTGTAAAAGAAAAAACAATGTTTAATTTCAGCATCCCAAAGAATGAAAAGGATGCAATATTAGACCCCAAAGCACACTAAAAGATAAACTGGGATCAAGAGGCAAATTGCGACAGCAGTCACTTAGAAGAGAGCTGGCTTGTCATTTCACAACCAGCCATCCTGATGTGTATTTATCCTAGCATTTTGAACAATAATTGAAGAGGAAAAGCACATGTAAATTGTCTTTCACAGGGGGTCACAGTGAAGTAACAGTTGTTTCAAGTTACTCAGCATATGGGATCAAGAAACCACTTTTCAAAGCTCTTGGAAGTTCTGAAATCTCCACAAGGCTTATCTACATCCTGTTATGACTGATTTAGGCTCCCAATCTTAGCTGAGAGAAATGACGCAGGCAATATTTAAGACCTTCTGTTTCATCTCTGAGGACACATCTTGAAGTGAAAGTGATGTGACATCAGGGTAAATAAAACCATTATTCAAACAACCCTGCTCAATAGAAATGCCTCAAATGTACTCAAAGATATAAATTATACCTTTCCCCTGGCATGATAGGGAAGTAGAGGTCTTTGATGAGGATATGGATGTCTCCACATGGAAAAATCTTTTAGAAAAATCACTGCTCTGAACAACAGGCCAAGTATTGTCTGGCTTATTTTATCTGCTCCCTAACAGCGCCTCATGCAGGCAACATTAGGACAATAATCTAATTACTGTAAGATGATCCTTCTATCTAAACAAAGGCCTTGCTTATGTTTTTACCAATCACAGGCACTCAAGCTCTGATTAGGCTATCATGTGACATTAGGTGACAGTGATAACTGGCAGACCTATGCCTATCTGTCTGTAACTTTATCCTAAATGAGAAACCACAACCTCTACAGTCAGGGGAAGAATTTGGCAGTTTTTCCTTCCTACTTAAACAGATGTTCTGTGCTTTAAGCTTTACAGCTGGTATTTATCCTTGAAAAACTAAGTAATTTACCATGATGTAGCATTCTAAGACTCTGCAGTGATCAAAAATTCGTAAGATGGAGGACAATGAATAATTCTCAACTGCATGTTTTAAATCCATCAGCACAGCATGGAATGACAATAACTAACAGTCTTCCCTTCATTTTAAAGCAGTCTGGAAAAAACATTTTTATAAGCCCTAGATTGCCATTAAAACATCTTTATAAAATCATTGGGAGTAGCATCTTTCAAAAATGCTGCATTAAAAGGCCACAGCTCACTCATATGTCTTTTCATTGTTTTTTAAAAAGCTTGCATGCTGTGACCTCAGACTCCTAGCCTCTCCTCCCTTGAAACTTATTTTTTATTCAGCTATCATGTAACAAACACTCCTTGGTCTGCTATTCATTGGCAGAAATATTTGACTTATCAGAGGCAGTCAATGATTGTGTTTGATCAAAGTCAAACTATGTACTGTCAATGTATGAAGAGGTCAACATTTACATGTGACTTAAGATTATTTACAACATTAAGTTACCAAACAGAATGCAGCTGAAAACCAGTACACCTTTTGTTGGTTAAGGTACAATATAAGTATATTTTACTATTTAAAACCGGAGTCTTCATCATTATTGAAAGGTCAAACAGTGAATGTGTAATCAACTCAAAATTCCATGATTTCCTCCCCAGAATAAATTCATATCTCGGCACACTTACAGAAAGGGAGCTATTGTTTTTGCTTGACTTATACTTTCTTCCTCTCCCTAGAAAAAAAGACATTAACAAGCAGTGGTTAGACAGGACAAAATACTTCTCCACAAGGTAAACAACACATGCTACTGTAACAATAGAAATAAAGAACATAATGCATGGTGTCAAGACCTCAAACCATAGCATGCTACCTATTGGTGCTGTCAATTAATATTACAATTTGCCATAAAATTTAATATATCACATCATGGTTAGATTGAATCACAAGTAAAATAATTTCAAGTATGAAAAAAAATTAATTGACTGCACAGCAGTTTGAATGCATTTTGAAAACAAGTTCATAACATGGTAGATGTGTGAAAAGTACAGACAGGGGGAGGGTACATCATACATCAGTGTTCTCCCTTATTTTAAGCATGACAGGTAAAATAAATTCTCAAACCAGTAAAGCAATCCTTTTACCTGTTGAATTTCAAGAATTCCAAGCAATTTTAAATGGTAATAAGAGGTACTACAGGCAGTAAATGTTACTGGTTACTGTCTGAAAAGGTGAACACTGTACTTGTGGCATACATCAGGCTACCAAGGTTTATTAAATGATGCACACATAGCACAGTTGTTCTTTAGAAAAAATTCCAAGGCTCTAAAAAAATTCAATTTCCTAAACAGATCACCCATGATTGCTGTAGCCATAGGATTTTGAAATTCCCTTACTTTTCCTCGACTTATTAAACCTTGAGTGTGAAGTTGAATGAATTGGTTGTTATAATGGCCTCCAACCACTTCACACAGCCATCTTCTCTATCCATTTATTTAAGCTTTCAGTAAGTTACATTCATTGTAAACAAACTGATTTCTTTGACACCCATTGTCAGGTTTAATGTTTAATTTCATTGAACAATATGCTACCAATCCAACACAATTCATGTCCATGTAACAATTATGAAATTGGAGATAACAATAAAATTAGCAAAAGTGAGAGAGGATGATTTCATTTACAAAAAATCTTGAACTAAGATGTACATTGCAAGGGGAAACAATAAGTATATCAGGAATCTATCAACTATTTTAAACAATATACACAAGTAATTGTGTGCATCACCTAACGTCAAATCTTAGAATCTTTCATCATGAAGAGGTTCAAACAAGATGAATGAGTTCAGTTATTGACTCAAGATTTTAGTGTTTCCTGACTTAATCTTTAAAAGATGTACTTTTCCTCAAATCTCCCTGACTCTGAATAATTTTTATAAATTCTTTAATAACTAAATAAGGACAGATTTGGCCAGGCCTCTGAAAACACTGCGCAGTGGATCTACAACATCTCACTGGTATACAAATCCTTAAATTATTGATAGGACCATATTTAACTCTCAAAAGTATTGCAGCTTAGCAGGTGATCCCTTTGAAACCATTTTTGACAATGTTTACAGGAAGCTGTTTTTTTAGGAACCAAATTTTTACCTCCTGGAAACCAAGCTTTTTTAATCTCTTTTTTTTCCTCACACAGCACCTAGAACTACTTGGATATGTGCTAAACAAAGTAATAAGCCAAACTTTAGATTGACCTGGGCTACCAGAGTTGTTACAGACACTTGTAAAATTCATCAAAAATAATTATTTTAAGGCAGTGCATAAGTCTATTCTGCAGGCAAAAGTGTGTCTTGATTATTTCTTCTTGGTCATTTCCCAGTTTACATGTTTTAAAAAATGAATTGTGAATGATGATTAAGTAAGTTGCCTTGAAAACATCCCTGCCCCTGAATAATTTTTCCCCCCTAACTACATATATTTTCTGACCAGCAGCCACCATGATACCAAGAGATGTAAAAAATGAGAAGTAAGATTTGTCACCTTGAAATTACGCCACCACATTCAAAATGGCTGCCTCCATTGTCAAATTTTTGGCACATACAAAGACAATTTTTTAAAGGCTACATTGATCTTTGAAGTTTTAAAAGCTATGTTGATCTTTGAAGTTTTAAAAAGTAGTTGATATCATAATATTATTGATACTTTTCCATGAAAAATGGTAACATTTTTAAAAAGCAGCTTTAAAAATGTTCCATTGAAAATGCTTTATTGTTGGTTAATGTAATGATATATCAGTTCCAATAGTGGTGTCACTCAGTCATGCATTGGTTAACCTGACCATGCTTTCCTGTTCACCATTTTTTGCAAGTGTCATAGATTTTAAATGAAGACAGGAGTAAATTAAGCCATCTAGTGTTTAAAAAGTACTGTTTCCTTCTTGGATCCCCTGAATTAATAATAAAGAAAGATACAATCTCTAAAATTACCTACTAATAACTTTAAAAGACACGTTGTGTGTATAAATTCTGTAATGACTAAATAAGGACAGATATGAGTAGGTCTTCCGAGTAAAGACGTAAGGGTTCACTTATTAATTGCCCATGACGAGACAAATTCCTTTCATTGCTTACAAAATTACTTATTGGCTAAAATGCTTCTTTTGAACTTTGATCTCAAAACATGTTGTAATGATTCTCCTGCAGATTAGAATCATTGTTTTCTTCACCTTCCATTTGTTTGGAGAAGTCAATAACATAGTAAACTTATGACATTGCATGCAACTCAAACTTTCTGTTAAATTAAAAATCACACAACTTTCATTTCTTCAAATAAACAGGACCAGAAAATTGACTCTAAAATTAGAACTAAACATCTATTTAGAATGATCTTTGAATATGATTCAACACTGTTTAGTACTAGAGAATAATCACTCTGCCACAGTTTAGACCAAGAGGTATTTCTTTAAACTCCAGGGTGTCACTTTTAATCAGCCCCATGCTGACATTGTAAAGCATGGAAAAATGTAAACAAAGTAAATTGTCTTTTCAGGTTTAGCAGTTGTGGTAATTATACTTTGATAAATCAAACAAAAGCTTAATGTTTTGCAATCTCTCCACAAGAAATGATAGTGCACTGTCTAAAATACTTGAGTTTTAACACCAAAGATTATTCACAGCTAATTTTAAGAACAAATAGACATCTTTATCATAGTACATGTACATGCAATTATATCTAAAAGATTGTGAGACAAAAAAAATAACTATTCCACCAAAAGTAAAGTCACAACTTATTCTAAGACTGACCACAGTTTGAATTGATGTTCTAATAAACTATGAGCAGACTTTTGATCTGTGAAATGCTTAAAATTACTCGGGCTTGACTCATTGGTGAATTGGTATGTTTAGATGAGAGTAACTGGTATTAATTTTATTTTATACTATTTTGTGTTCCTGAGAAATATTTTTGACAAGTAATAGCTGATTTTTTTATGATTAAATGTTTATAGCCTTATAGAGTAGCTGCTTTACAATCAATGAACCCAAGTTTTGCCAATGGAATTTTTACAAAAGGATTGTCATCTAAAATAAGTGGAGAGGATAGGGAGATCAAGGAAAACTAAAAAAAAAAATGAAAAAATTAAGAGCAGTCTTGAAACACTGGTATGGAATGTTCCAGGAAGTTGTATTTGGAGAAAAAGTAACAAGAAGGGGGAACCTTCAACCAATAATGTAAAAATGTATATGCTTGGTTACAATTCAATAAGATCAAACAAAAGGAAAATTGCTTTGGGATGCATGCAGGAAATTTCCTACCCTAACAGACAAAAGCAGTCCCATTTTCACGTCAGAAACATTAAGGTCTGGGCTTGTAATTATAAGCAAAAGGTTTTGTCAAATGGCCAAAATACAAATGAAAATGAAAAATGTGCACTGTATGATTACCATAAAAGATGCATTAAATTGTCTCTACTTATTGGATAGCCTACCAAAGATGTAATTTGAACCTCTCATCAGTCTGTTTCATAATAGTTAATCACAAGTTTGGATTTCAAGTATATTGACCATATTTAAGCATAGATTCTAGGATTACAAACTATATGCTGGTTCCTCAAATTCAAGTCTACTACCAGAGAGGTAAGCTATCCATGTGAGCCCTAGAGTACACATGTACATGATCACAATATTTTGTATGAATAATTGTCTACATTGGTGAACTTACAATCTGGACTTGATAGAGTAACATCATGAGAGGTCTGCAGCGGTGGAGGGAGGCCAGCCTGTGGGGAAAAAAATTACCAAAGCTTAAAAATTTCGTTTTGTTTGTTGTTGTTGTTTTAGGTCTGTAGAAGTTGTTGTTGAGCATTTACAGTTAAAAAAATTCAGCAATGCCTGTCTATCATGCAGAAAGATAAAGATGATAACATGATATGATAATGATCATTACAAAAATAATAATGATAATAAAGATAACTATGATAAGACAAACCCATTAAATCCTGAAGTTATTCTAATAGATTTGGTCCTTCCCAATGAACAAGAATTGATAATGTGATTAACCATAAATTAATATATCATTTTCAGTTTCATTCCTAAGGCAAGCATTGCAAAATATATTCAACTCTTAAAGATTGTGCTTCGAGATTGTGTTTTCAAGGGAAGCTCCTTGACAAGATTGAACTTTGTAACTTTTGTGCAACACATTCAACTGATTTCACCATGAAGTCTATGAAAGTTTATAAATTAGTGGATAACTGTTATGTTTGATTTTGAATGAGTCATGAGGGATCAAAAACGGAAAGCAAACGTGTAGTTTAACAATGATTGTGTTGTTCAGTTTAGAACCTATTTGGAGGTTTCTTTGACTCTTGAAGTAAAAAAGACAACACTTTATCAATCAATAACTCTAACATTCCCAATTATCAAATAAAAATAACAACAATCTGAATCCACCAAACCTGCAGCCTATGTTAAGAATGTGCACCCATCAATTTTTGAACACTAGATTTTGGATGACTAAAGCCAACCTCTTATGACTAATGATTTTTTTTTATTTTCCCCTTATTGTACTGTTCTGCCCGATTCTACCTCTCAGTAGGTTTCTTGTTGAATGAATGTTTCAAAGAAAACTAAGTTGAAATTGGAAATTTGTGTTTAAAAGAAGCAGTGAGGAAGGCAAGTACTTCCTGCATGGGGATGTGAAATAGGCTGCTTAAGGTGAACATCATTGGATGACGAAATATGCTTTACAGTATGCAATTAAACAAGTAGGGTACACTTATTCTTCCATGAGGAACCCTTTCCTTGGAGTCCATGACCAAGTTACTTAAATAAATGCTCAAAGTATTTGCCAAGCTCTGAAAACACTGTGCAGTGGATCTACAACATCTTACTGGTATACAAATCCTTAAATTATTGATAGGACCATATTTAACTCTCAAAAGTATTGCAGCTTAGCAGGTGATCCCTTTGTAACCAATTTTGACAATGTTTACAGGAAGCTGTTCTTTTAGGAACCAAATTTTGCCTCCTGGATACCAAGCCTTTTTTATCCCTTGTTTAATCTCATACAGCACCTAGAACTACTTGCATTTGCACTAAACAAAATAATTAGCTAAAATTCAGATTGACTAGAGCTACCAGAGTTATTACAGACATTAGCACACTTGTAAAATTCATCAAAAATAATTATTTTATGGTAGTGCATGAGTCTATTCTGCAGGAAAAAGTGTGTCTTGATCATTTCTTCTTGGTCATTTCCCAGTTTACATGTTTTAAAACATGAATTGTGAATGATGATTAAGTAGGTTGCCTTTAAAACAAATTTTTTTAGTTGTCACTGTTTTTAGTGTTAAAAAAAAAAAAAAAAAAAAAAAAAAAATTGAATTCTAGTGAATTGTCATTCCAAACCTTTATCTATTTCTCTTCTTCCTGTAGCTCAAGGTTATAATACCTCATTGGTCGAAATAACATCATATACATATGTGAGCACAACAATGCATAGGGATAAATACAAAAATTCTAGCTTCAAAAAAAAGTAATGTTTACAAACTGCTCTTTACTATTCATACAAGTATCTTAGTTTGGCACAACTTTTACAAATCCTTTTAATTTATTTCCTTTGGTAAATTTACTATTTCCAATCATGTGAAGGGGTTATTCTTGAAATACATCTTCAATTTATACATTACTGAGCCAAAAAGCTGTTGCATTTTCTGTGGTGTTTAACAGATGTGCTGTAAAACATTTGGCTTCCTTATTCATTATTTGATTAAAAAGCCTTTCAAATTTTGAGAAATCTAAAGCCCTTTGAATGTCATTTTTATAGTTCAATATTCCTTCATTTTGGGCATAATTAACCAGATAAAGAGGAAAAGTCCTCAAGAAGGAGAGAATATAAGCACAGCAGAATCATGGAACACTGAATTTGCAAACTTGGAATAAAGCTTTCCCAAGTTTGAATAGGCTTTTGTGCAACAAATAACATTTTACAGTCAACTTGATACCTCTTCATTAAGGATTTTGATAAAATTGAGGAAATGAGAGAAAATAAATGAGACAGAGACTGCGGGTAGCTCACTTAAGTATAGACCCTTTCCAATAGGGCACAACCTTATTGGTTGGTTAGGGTTATACATGTATCTTCTTCACAACATACATGTATAAATATCACTCTGAGCTGGTGAGGGAGAGACAGCGAAGTGATCTAGACAATATAGCTGTAGAAAGTTAGCTATTGCTTGTTTTGAATCCCTATATAGCATTCTCTAGAGGCAACAGCAGCCATTGGTTTTACCAGCTACTTGTTTTTGAAGCACTTGCTACTTTATGACAACAAAAGAGTGAAAGAATTGTCTTTATCTGGAATACATTTTAACTTTTCCTTTTATTTCTGCATGTACCCAAATAGATTGATAAAAATTGGACACAAAACAATAAATTGAAGGAAAATAGATGTCTATGGCCTTAGAGGTCTCATTTGTGACCATCAGCTATTTTAATATTACGCCCAACTGCTGAAAAAATCCCTAGAGAACATTGTGGGTAACAAAACTCACCTGACTTCCTGTTAGTCCGGATTCTCTATAGCCTGAAAAAAAAAAAAACAATAAAAAAAACCAAAACAAAACAAAAGCAGAAAAAAAAAACCCAGTCACTTCTTGTCAGCTATATATATATCTTATATGGTATCATCAATTATATAATGCTGTGATATCACTAGTCCTTACATGTCAGACTAACTAGTGCTAGAATGAAATCATATCACGCTTATGTTTAAATAATTGTGTGAGACCTTCCTGTATTAGACTAACTTGTGCTAGCAATTAAAACTACATACAGAGATATTCTAAAATGTCAAATGTGCTAGAAACTGGTGTCTAACTCTAAGTATGCATCTGCAGCCACTGCAAACATTTAAAATAACTAAATTGACAGAACCTCATCTATGCCCTACGCTGAAACATATTGGGCAATTTTCCAACCAACTTTTGTTCAAAGAGGAGAGACTCTCTTCACAAAAGAACAACTGAATGACTGACAGCCAATGCATGCCAAATGATACAATCCTTCCTACTTCAAAAAACCCTGAGATGTTCTAAAAAAGTTGTGGTCAAGAAGATTTTTCTCAAAGCACAGAAAAGCCAAATTTTGCCTCAATTACATTTGTATCTTACATGGAGGAAGCTAGACTTGCTACTAGAAGTTATTTCTGTTTTACTAAATCTCTATTTAACAAAATTCCTTATTTTATTCCTTAAATTTTGAGAGAAAAAAAAAATGTCATAAATTTGCTCTTCACTTTCCATGGATGCAAATTGTTAAATTATGAAGTTTTCAGAGCTGGCAAGCCTGTGTTTAACTTATGTCACCTAACATAGAGCAGGTTCAATGCAAAATACACACATGGTGACTTGTTGGTCAACCTATCCAAGATCTTGATGCAGGTTTCATCTTAAAGCCCAAAGTGTAAATAGCTGATTTGTTTGGCAGATTAACTCCAGCTAAAGGGAGATCGATTCAGTCAAAGCTCCAAAACAACCGACCACAAGTGAATCATTTCTTTTAAATCTATATTACACCTCTCAAACGTTTTCACCTGGTAAAACAACATCTGCTTCTAAAAACGATAAAAAATAATGTGTGAAAATTTATATTATGACGAAGTAAAATTTGCGTGGTCAATGAACCGAACCATATATAAAATTAACAAGACATAGAGAGCATTTAATCAGTGCATGAACTCAACCATGTTATATACATACACATGTGTTCGAGTCACGCGTTTGTTGGTACTTTGGAAAGAAGGGAATCCTCAAATTGACCTTAATTTTACTGTAGGTATTTATCATTACGCCAGTTTTTATGTTGCTCATAAAACAAGATGTGTTATAATCGTAAAACCCCTCAGAGGGTGGGGCTTGTGCGCGAGTAAGCATGTTCACGCACATTATCATATCTCCTATTTGACGTGAACAAAGGATGAATGGAAACAATTTTTTTTGACGAAATATAAAATGAAAATTTGCCCTAATCGCTTATTTTATTAACCGAGACACAAAAGTCTGCCATCACCAGAAAACGACTCGCAACAGCAAAAACGTCCTAAGCAAAACAAATTACTCCACCAGCTCTGTACTTGAAGTGAACGAAAATAAAATATGGTCATCTTATTTACCAAGCATGGCGCGTTAAAATATTAAAATTATCGCAAATACAAGGGGGAAATCTAAATATCTAAAAAACTGTTTTGCGCTAATTTCGCCACCGTCTAACCCTTTCGAGTCGTTAAAACCGATCATGAGAAAAAGAAATCGTTTTCGCCACAAGAAAATGCGATCTCGTCATGCGTCAAAAAATATTATATACATGGAAAAAACAAACCGATCATATTCCGAAAAAAATCCATGCAAATTTGCATTTGGTTTTTTATTGTCTTGTGTTTCAATTCGATCGAAGGATTTAACGCTTAATTCTAGAGTATAGCAAAGCAGCACGCGTCAATGTTTGGATCACAGGAAGCTTGATCGTGCGAACAATCTCAAGAAGGCAACGAGGTACTGCTATGATGCTCACCGACAAAACAACAACAAAGCCGAGACAAGTAGAGCCTTATCTGAATCATTCAAGTGCCAAAGAATAATTTCACAATCAATTCCTCGCCGAAATGTCTACCTTGCGTTAACAATACTCTTACCTAAAGTTCCTAGAGAGTTTGAATCGAGATACGAATTAGTAAAACCAGCTCCCTTACGGGAAATAAAGTCGCCCTCCACATCTTCGATCGTGCTGTATACACCGTGACTATCCGTGTGATATGCCTGGAAAGTACAGAATAAAAATATTAAAACAGAATAAAAATCGGCGAAATTAAAAAGGTCATATGAAGTATATTTATTCAGTCGTTCAGGTTTTGCTCAGTGAAGTGTTAAAAATGCCGAACTAAATGGAAAACAACATTTCAACGGGCATGGCTTCGCTAACATACAAGTCTATAAGGACCACTTGTTAGTAAAATATTTTGCATCTTTATAAAGTAACAAATTATCGCTCGAAAATATAGAGTTTCCGTTCAGGCACGTGCTACATTAGTGGTTCTAATTTTGCACAAATGTTCCTGTTGACATTTGTAGCGAATTTTACAGAACTTTTGTTTTGGAGATTTGTTTTAATTTTCAAGCGCATAAAGCATCATAAGTTTAACTGTATTCACAGCTTACCCGAGCTTCGTAGGCCGACACAGAACTGCCTTGCCACGTGGGTGTCTCGTCTAAAGAACCTACAAAAGAAAAAATAAAAGTAAGCCAGCAGAGGAAATATTTTTATGTCTTGGAAGCAGAGAAGCATGTGGGTTGGAATCAAGAACCGGTGTGATGTACTCTAGTGTGAGTAGCAGGTTCTGTGAGGTCCATACAGAAAGTTTAATTCATGGCGAACGGCATACAAACAAAACGCAAACGGCACCTGTTCTAGATGCGTGCATGGAACTCGATAACCCAGCTTCCGTCAGAGAGCCACTAGATTTACTGCCGACCATGGATCCCGGCGGCGAGAACATCTGAGCAAAAAAAAATTGCCAACACACAAAGCAAACACGATCGTTAATAAACTGCAGCCAACGGCGCTCGCTAATCGCAACATCAAGAGAAGTTGCGAATGCAAGTGTGTCAGAAATTTTTCCAAGTTGTACTAACCGCGCTGAAGTCTAGTAGATCGCTCAGTTCCTTATCTCCCGCGTGCGGATTCATTCGTCAAAATCTCCCAATGTCTAGCGTGCAGTCCGTTGAAGAAATCGCAGCGACTTTTGTGAATGCACGCAGGCTTGAGCGAGTCGATTTTGAATAATAAGCTGAACCACACAAAAAATCCTCAAAACTGCAAGCTTGCTCCGTAACAAAGGCAACGCGTATAACTTTCCCTCGATCGTTATACCGAGCTGACAAACCGCACTCTGCCAAATAATTCGTGTTTTTTTAACGGTTTTCCATGCGCCTTCAGCGCGGGGGGAATTTCCGCGAACACAACTCAACAACTAGCTTTACAAATTTCCTCTAATTCGCGTGGCTTCGTTTTCTCCATATTCCCAAGTTTAACCGGCCCAACTCTCCGGGGAGGGGACTAAAAATAATAATTGACAGCTCATTGTTGCTTTCATCATGGCAATTATTAGTCTTGACAGATCCAATTATGTTCGGACCAATCGCACGTGTTGTTAGAAACTCAACTATTACCATGTGACCACTACACGTGATTACAAAACCCAAACAACATTTTCGGCGTTTGTGATTGGCTGATCTATGACGTTATTGAGTTAAACTTTTTCCCTGTTTGGGATGCAGAAAGAATATTAGTGCAAAAATGATTTAATATGAACAACAAAAAATCTATTCTTATAATTTTAAAAAAGGAGATCGGAAAAAAGTTTTTTTTTTCCACGAGTAATTAATTTAAGTTGCAACGGTGTTATTAACATTATTCTTAGGTCCAACGCTATAAATTTTTGTTCATGAACAGGAAATATTAAATTTGTTATTTCCGGTTCTCGTTAGCGACATAAAATTTATGTGGGTACGTCTTTGTGAAACGCTCCAAACAATGATGCACGAGTTAAATTACTCCCTCGCTTTCCTTCGATTATTTTAAACAATTGTTACGCTATGGTTCCCTACGATTTTCATGGTAGTGTCACATGTAATCCTTTTGTTTAGTTCCGCTTACACTTGCCCGAGTGGGATTAAGGTGCGATCTTTTAATCTTTCTTAAAGTAAAGAAATGCTCTTTTGGCAACCTCGTTTTTGAGTCGTTCACATAAGAGTCGTTTGAAAGTTCTGGAAATTTGCATATCCACGGTAAACTTTTCTCAAAATTTGCATAATGTTGACAAGCCAAAAGGAAACGTGAATTAAATGTGATTCATACAATTCACACAAAAACACGCATTCCTCTTAGCCGATTTTGAGCCGAGAAATTTTTGTTCCGATGCCAGTTTTTGTGGGCTTTTTTGAAGTTTAAATTTGTCCCTACGTCACTTTTCGCGACAATTACGTGACATCACAACAACGATGGTTTGCTTTCGCATCATGTCTTAGCTAACACAAGTAGCTTTTGACCCAAACTACTTAGTGAATATCCTCCTAGCCAACCAAACGTTCAAATATCGTGCGTTTGTTTCAATCAATAACAAATCATAAGAAGAGACACTTCGAATCATGAACTTGCAGTGCTCAACCCATCACGCGTAGGATGTAACAAGATAGGCATAATTTGCCATTTGTTTACGATTCACTGTACAATAAACACTACCCTAAGTTCGACTTCAGTACGAAGCTCGTAACACATTCACGAAATGATGTATATAGTTGCTGCTTAAGCTTTGTCTTCGGGATGTATCTATAAATACAAAGTTATTTCAAGTCTTCCTTATATCCCAGAATGTCCCGTCGAACAGTTAGCTTTTGTGTTTGGGATATACATATATATGAAATAAAGTTATTTCAAGTCTTCCTTACGTCCCAGAATGTCCCTTCGAACAGTTATTTCAGGAAGATACGAGAGAAATACGCAATTATGAAGATCACGTTTATTAATTTTTTAAATAGCACCCCATGACTGATGTGGCGTTGGTAGGAGATTTTAAAGAACTTAAATAATTCCTTTTATAGAAGTTTTCAATACCGAATGGGCTGATCTTTGAACAAGTTCATATTATCAGCGTTCCTCATATAAATTTGATGTGAGTTTTATGATCATTTGAATAAAGCGGATGTAAATCCTCTGATCTATACAATTTTTGGCCTAATTCTGCCTAACGCCGCCATGATTTTCCCTTTCAATTGCGTTTAAGAATAACTTTATCCTTTTTTGCAATCGCGGTTCACAGTGGATGGTTGATGTTTGTCCCTACTATTTAGAAAGCAAAGGAGATTGAGTTAATGCGCATGTCGTGGACACCTTACGTGGTTTTGAAACATAACAATTCATCAAAAACGGAAGAAAAATAAAACATACCCGCCATTTCCTTCCACGATCTACTGTGTGAAGTTCGTTCGAGATCCAAGGACCGAACTTTGCCGAATTCGGGACGAAACTTCCAAAAGTTTCCCGATTCATGGCATTTTCGAAATAGCAAATTATCCGTCCTTTTTCCTCTTTGTTCGCAAAATGGGTGCTTTTAAAGGCCAAACCAGCGCTTAAAAATGATGGAGCAGTGGGTTAGCTCCGTATAAATAAAAGTTTGCGGCTCGATATAAGATAAAACTCTACTGGTGAAATACTTTACAATAGAGTTGCCTAGCGTATACAAATGTCTGTAGCAAATTTAGTTCTTTAGTTCTTTATTTGGCAGATAGGTGTGGAAGCCCACGGAGAATTGTTATCTCGTCAAAAATAGTTCACTAACGAGCTAAATTCTTTTGACAAATGTTCTGGCGGGGTAGGATGATTTCTAGACCGCAGCTTTCCGTGCTTCATTAAGTAAAAATGGGAAGAGGAAGTATCACGTACGCTCTTTTTTTTTCTTTTACACAGATGTCGAGCAGAGATTTCGCCCTGAAGACTCAAGAACGACAGGCTAATTCCGTGGTAAAATACTAGGAAAAGTCTTTTCGCCTTGCTGTGCGCTTTCAAGAACTTCGCGAAAATTACTTTCACAATAATAATAAAAGACATTGGAATCTGTCTCCTTCAACAAACTTACATTTGTGCAGAATGGTCTTCTTAAGCCCTTCCCTCCCTTCCGAATTATTTTTTTTCTCTCTAAAAACTTCAAAATAGATACTTTCAGGGAAGAAAATCAGATGATTTTAATAAAGAGGGGAAGTTATGTAGACAAGATTCGGCCACCTAATATGAAAGGAAACTTTTGACGTCACTCAGTGTTTAAGAAAACCTGCCTTTAGGATTTATGTTGTGACTTTGAACAAGACGAAACATCGTTTTCAAATTAATTTTTTAATGATTACCATTCTGGATGAATACGTTTAATTATTGATTCATTCTTACCACATCGTTCTAAAAATGGAACTTATCCCTCCTGGTTCTTTTCACGATCGTTCTTGATCCATTTTTTGTCAGTGGAAAAAAGACTGGTCACACCTCTGCTTTCCGAAATGGACTGTGAAACTGACTGGTAAGCAAGGGAACGAATTGTGGTTGAATGTGACTGAAATATCCTTAATTTCAGAGGCTCGATCTTTCTTCCTCATTGTGAAAACTTGTGTTCTCAGCGGAACTCCTGCGGGAATATTTTCCTTAATCGGATTCACGCCTTGTTTCTACCCTGGCAGGAACTACTACTTCAAATGCTTACGTTCGTCCGCTGTTTTATTTTTGAGTCCATAAAAATACCTTCGAAAGCGATGGTTTAGCCCACGAAAACAGAAGAACAACTTGAATCGACTTGTAATCGAGTTTTCTCAGGTTTAGATCCCACGATAGTTGGTAGTTTCCGCTGCCTGTATAAACACTGTGGGAAGTGGATTGAATTTTATCCTTTCTCATATATTCTTTTCCGTTATTTATTTGAAGACGGAAGACAGCTACTCTCTGCTGGTTGATTGAGAGAAGGCTGCGTCCTCGACTTTTCCTAAATTATTATGATTTTAGAAGGCCAAGAGAATGAATTGAAAAGTGGCCGAAGATTCAAAACAATTGGGCAGTGCAAAGCTCGGAACAAACTCGGGGACAACGGAAGCTGCTAAGAAACGCTCTTAGAAACAATACCTGGACTCGCCTACTTTAAAATATATTTCGATCCACTCGGTCAATTATCCTTGAGAAAGTATGATAATGTTCATTTTTAATCTTGATCTTCAATATCTCGTTTTCGTTATTGACTTCAGTTTTTTCCTTTATTCTCATCACGGAAAAAGGAAATAAATTCCGTTAACTTTTATAGCGACTTGCTAATAATTGTTTTCCGGTCTTCGTACCCGAAAGCGGGAAAGTGTAGGACGATGTCGCAACACCTCGGTTCCCGGGTTACAAAAAAAGCCCCTTCTTCCCACACTCCGTATGTTTTTTAATAATTTTCTTTCTTTGACGACAATCGTTTAGACGCTTGATAGAGAAAATGACGGCGAGAAATTGATCTCTTGGCATGTGAATCGATAAAATTCATTTCAAATTCGAGTAAGAGTACCTTCTAATCTATTTCAAAAATAAATTTCTTCATTGTGAATGCGGTATGAACATATGGAGCAATCTTCGATTAAATGCAAATGTCCAAGAAATAGTTTTCAATACGCATCTTAAACGGGATTGGTGTCTGCTTTATTGATGATTCATGTATATTTTGAAAAAGTGAGAAATGAAAAACTGAAAAATCAAGGGTTCTCAGCATCGGTATTTGATGTAATTACCCTTTTAAACCATAACCCATATTTAAAATCCTTAAATTATTTGACCTGAACTCTTTCACTCCCAAGATCTAATTAGGAATTCTCATTACTGTCTACCGTAATATTCTATTGATGTTCGTTCGGAGACTTTGGTATTGGATGAACTAACCATCGCCTGATTAATATTTTTCTTTACTCTCATCATTTTTTTGCTTGATATGGTATTGATATTATAAGGAGAAATTCTGTCTTGGTCACTCACGGGAGTTAAAGGGTTAACCGTTATTCCTTGCAAATGAAGTGAAGAGTTTTGAAATACTTATCAAGGATCGAGCGCGTACACTAATGGAGGAGATTTGACGATAGGTGTTTGACAAAATGATCAACACTGTGCATAATAAATATTATAGCTAAAAATAATTTAAAAAGCAAATCATGGAAACAAAAGCGAGTCTCCTGTGGTTTAGTTTTTTAAGAATATTAATCGGCGTAGTGATGAATTCATAAGTCATTAAACAAACTTGTCTGTCTGTTCATAGAAACAAACGAACTTGTCTTGTATCTAACTGGCACATAAATATATTCTTTCAAAATCAAATTTAAACAACGATTGAACCTCATGAACTCAGACTTTGCCTCGTCAATCCTCCATAGAATTGAACTTACCATTTCTTTCCTGAATTCCAACCAGCTGACAGCTTTACTTCAAAAATATTTGTATTGGAGTGGATCGATGTAGAAACTTCGTCTTGCCAATCACGCCACGGTAAT